CAGAGTCAAGTGTACCGTTTGATGCCACATAGAACCCAAGATACTTAAAGGTGTTTTCCCTTTTAAGTTTATCATTAAGTAAAGTAACATACCCTATTTCCTCTTCTCCATTAAAAACCATATACTCCGTCTTCTCTCTACTGACCTTAAGTCCTCTGTCCTCCATCGCTCCAATTTCTGCTCTACTCCCTCCCTGGTGGTATCTATGAGGACTATGTCATCTGCAAATAACATTAGCCTTAGGTGGAGTTTACCACCCACTTAGGGCTGCACTCTCAAGCAACCCGACTCCAACCATAATATGGATTAAAAATCATTTTAAAATTTATCCAACTGGTATCATATTACTTGTTTGTGTACTTTTTATTGCAGCATTTATTTTGTTTTGAATACTTCTCATAGTAATTCTACGAATAACCAACGATCCCTATTTTCCGTTAGAATTGTAACTTTTTTCCTAATTACTTTTTCAGTTCTTATATGTCTATTGAATGGACACAACATCTATAAGCTTTCAGTATAGCCATATCCCTGATAGCTATAGCTTTTACAAGAATTAAAACCACAATCGCAAAGTTATAAAATGTAATCCTTACTTTGGCCTGCAGATAAGTGTATAAATCTGCCAAAGTAGGGATTAAATTTTATAAATTTGTGATTATTGTTTCATTAGTTTTTGTAGCAGGCTCCCTACTTCATTTTAAAGTTCATAATTGTTTAATACTCTTGTTTGTTTACTTTTTATGTTATATCTGTATGAAGTAAATGCTTGACCTTTAAAAAGTGTCGCGTGTTTATCCATCGATATGTAGCGCCATCTATTGGTTTGAATTTGTTTTAAAAGATATTTAACTACGAACATGATATGCTTATCATTTATAAAATATCTGTATATATTTATCGGAATATCAAAATCGGATACCTACAAACCAGTCAAGTAAGCTGGAGAAATCTTGTAGCGATAGTCCGAGCCGTCTAGGGGCTAGCCCCACTGAAATGTTTGTTAAGAATTAAGAAAAAATTTAATGCATTAAGTTAGGTCAATAAGAATCAAATACGTATAAAACACACGAACCTCAGCTTATATGATCCGTGCGATACCAACAAAATAATAAAAAAAAAGAGCCCCTGTACTTTAAGCTCTGGGTGCGTTATAAGAGTGACTGTTAATCCTTTAGAATGGATGGTGGACGGTAGGGTGATGCAGACTGGCTGATTTCCCTTTGGTCAGTAGTTCAAAATTAGGGACGGTTGCACACAGCCTTCTTTGCCGTAAATATAAATATTTCAGCTTAACAAGTATTTTTTAGCGTATGTCACAGGAAAATTCCAGTAACTTCTGTAAACTATCAAGTACGTTATAACCAGTATTTGCTGAGATGAAATATATAATATCAGGTCATAGAATAAAATACTTAAAACTAACATAGACCCGAAAAACATTTGCGGTGTAATTAGTATTTTTATTGCTGCAACAGTACTTCTATAAAAATACAGGATTTCTAGAATAATACAAGAGAATTTTAATCGCAGACACCGAAATCTGTAAGTTCACTTGCATTGGCCTAACATTAGTTAAGCGTTTTATTAAGTACGGCCTATATACAATAAAAAGATAAATTAACACTGTAACTTATGCACGTTTTTTTTTTTGCTTCAGTTTAGTTAGGGCTAAACTTTATCGTACTTTAGCAATCGATGTGTTCGAAGGAAAACGAAGTTTGATAATAAACAAGATTACGACACTTATGATATACAACACTGTTTATTAACAAAAAGAGGACATAGATAAAAGTTTCGGAATTCTATCAGATTTCATCTTCAGTATCTTCTGTATTTAATACTAACAGTAAATAAACTTATAGTGTTATTTTACGATGTAACGTTAGATCTTTTTAAAAACTTTGATAAGCTTTCAATATGTTGTTGTACAAAATGATTTAATAAAGTACATTTACATCCACCTTTTGTTTACATCCGTTGAAATTAATTGCGCGCGCATGCATATTTAAATAGTAAGGTGCGCGCGAATTTTCAGGACAGACAAAAACTGAGTATTATTATAATAGACTAGCCGCGACCTACAAAACATTTGATATCTTTTTCATGCCATCTGCTTGAATTGTTCTTGTTATACGCATGTCATTTAAGTTACGCTTTCTTGCAAGCGTTATGTGTTAGATCAATAAATCCTGGCCATTTGAAAAAAAAAAAATTATGAGGTCAGACAAACAAACGCACATAGACATAACTTTTCTTAATAAAACTACGCGTAAGCAATAAAGTATACATTATTATATATAATAATATATACAGTATGAAACGGTTCGCCCCCAGTGGCACAGCGGGATGTCTGCGGACTTACAACGCTAGAAACTGGGTTTCGATACCCGTGGTGGGCAGAGCACAGATAGTCCTTGTGTAGCTTTGTTCTTAATTACAAAACAAACAAACAATGAAACGGTTATGAGCGTTCAGTGTATGACACGGTTGTACGAGTTAAAACAAAGACAGTAGCAAAAACGAAGAATAAAACCCGTACTAAAGAAAGAGTAGCTAAAAACTGTTTATAACAGTCTATGAAACGAACTGAAGTTAAATAATTGTAAGTAAATATAAAGTTGTAATGAAGGCAAACTGAATATGCAGAAACGTCTGAATGCGTGTCCACAATGACATAAGCATATGGTTTTGAACGAAGTATAAATGCGTATTTTCGACATAAATAAGTCGAGTAAGCTAAGAGCAATTGTATTTAGTGTAATGTTAATTTTTTCAGAAATTACACGCGGGTTAAGTGTTGTTCGTGTGAAATACTTTGCAAATAAAACAAAAGACAAACTAGAGTTCAAACCGAAGCCAGTCGTCACAAGCTGACAACGACATTGTGCCATCCTTTACCATACTCGTTGCTTTAGAAAGTTTGATTAAGCAAACAACAGGTAAGAGGGCTCAGGATCGATCCCACTCGAGGTTTAAACAGAAATTAGATAACACACTACAATACCACTAATATCAACATAATGTATTCGCTGATGGAGGATTAAGGTTGTTAATCCACAGACAGTAAAAGTTATAATGAAAAGCAAACAGCCTATGTTAAATTGATATTGATATATTTTATATAAGATCTGTTGTTTAGAATTTCAGAAAGGACTTGGGGGGTCTAGTACACCTGCATGAATCAAAATATTCAATATTCGTGACCCGTTATCACAAAAACGCGTTCCGCACCTTCGAGATGTGGGTGCGCTATAAGAATGATGCCGAAATCCCATTATTTCTTAATTCAGACAAGAGTACTTCAACAGTTAGATGCGAGTGCTGTTCAACAGCTGTCTGGCCTTCCTTATAGTCTATCACTTTAAAATCAGTGACGGTTGTTGTTTTGAAGATAAGCACAAAGCTACACAATGGGCTATCTGTTTTCTACCCACCAAGGGGAACGAAACCCGGTTTCTAGTGTTACAAGTCAGCAGACATGACGCTGTGCCACTAGGGGGCATCAGTGTCGGCTTTGCAGCCCTTTGTGTAGCTTCGTGGTAAATTCTGAAACAAACAAACCGACCAGGATTTTTTTTTAATGAGTTTAACATAGAAAACACTGAAATAGAATGAGTGGCATTTATAACTCTCCTCATACACACATTATAATACTGTATAACATTCCGGGGGAAAAAAAACGAATCTCAGAACAACAGCGTTTAAAAGGTGTTTTGAGATTTCACCGAATAGTTCTTTTACAAAATGCAAATATAACATAAGATATACCAGTTTATCAGACTAGTTGCTGATCATTTTAACCTTTATTTTCCATCATTCGTTCAGTTTTGTATCTTGCGGCACTCAATTAATATAAACATAATTTCAATATCTGATTTATTTTTGCAGTGGTTATTATCTGAGGGGTTTTCACAACGCCGTCATGGCCAGGTGGTTAGGACGCTCGACTCGCAATCTGCGGGTTCGCATCCCCATCCCACCAAACATGCTCGCCCTTTCAGCCGTGGGGGCGTTATAATGTGACGGTCAATCCCACTATTCGTTGGTAAAAGAGTAGCCCAAGAGTTGGCGGTGGGTGGTGATGACTAGCTGCCTTCCCTCTAGTCTTATACTGCTAAATTAGGGACGGCCAGCGCAGATAGCCCTCGTGTAGCTTTGCGCGAAATTCAAAACAAACAAACACAACGCCGCCTTTTTTCCACGACTTTTTTATATTTCATAGTTGGTGTAAATAATTTGGTATGGGCCAATGTAAATTGTAATTCCTACCATAAGACGTTCATTTGTTTACGTTCCTAACCCTTGACAGTTATCTGATATGAACCATTGTAACTGGTAACTTTTGCCAAAAAACATTCATCTACTTACGTTTTTAAGCCATCGTTGTAAATGGTAATTTCTGCCAAAAGGCGTTCATCTACCTAGTTCACCATAACCATAACTTCCAGTACTAAGTAAAATTTCTCAATACCATAAACCCTTTAAAAGAAGATAACCATGTGGGTTAATTACTTTAATATAAAGTGTTTTGGACACCCTAGTTATAATTTATAATATTCTATATATAAATTACTACATCACTATTCGTTTTAATTTTTAAGTTGTACGACGTAAATTTTACAGACAACTATAACGCGAAAAGCTCAAATTGATCAAGGCTATTTTTTGGTGAAAAGAAAAAGACATAAGTCGTTCATAAAGTACTCTAAAACGTCTAATTCTTTCATATTCGAATAATAATAATAGCATAGGCTTCAGGCAAGGTGTCAACGCTAACTCAACAGATACAATGTTTTAGTTGAAATGTAACGTATAACTTAAGTTATAAAATATAGTACTCACCTCGCAAGACAAGTCTTAACTTTCTCTCTGTGTGTTGAACGATGTTATGATTAAATGTTTCCGCTATACACTTCTGTAAATACGTTTTACTGAAATGCGATATCGTAAAAATGTCTTTGATAAGGTTTCGTAAAATTAGATACACGTACGTGCTTATTAGATTAACAAAGAGTGAAACAGTAGCGAATAATAATAGCACGTCCAATCCGTTGTTGCTATTTCCTAATTTAAATAGGATTGATTAGAATTGTTTACCTCTCGTTGGTAAACATTGTGCAATAGTTTTACTTCTTACCTGCGTAGTTTGGCTTCGAATTTCCAGGTATATCCTATATTTATCCCTTGTTCGGAAACAATATTTTTTTAGTTTGTATTTCCGGTTGCTAATTATATATCAAGCTAAAAAACAAGGTTACACACTCTCGACAACAGAAAATTATACTATTAGCTTGGGTGGTTAACGTGGTATGTAAAAACAACTGAAGCAGTGTAAATTTATGCCTTTTTAAACAGTGAGCTTTAAGCTTCTGCCAAGTCGGGAAATCGCGGATTTAAGCTTTTTATCGTTATTATTTCTATATATATTTAATATCTTAGAAGTTTCGGATTGTGGTTTGTTGGGTTTATTTTAATAGGAATGTGCTTGATTGGGCTTTAATTGTGCATATCAATATAATTACAAGACAGCTAATAGTATTTATTTTTAAACTAGTTTCTCTCTCACCTCTATATTTTATAAAGGTATAATTTGCTTGGTTATCAGTTTAAAAACATATCACATCGTTAAATATAACTAATAACACAGACAGAACTTGCATACTTATTAGTTTAAAGAAACTTGGTAGTTGTTTAAATTTGAAATTAATCCATAAATAAAACTTCTGCAGACTACAATAAATATTTTTAAGATCTAATTTTACAATATTTAAAATTAAAATCAAGAACAATAGTGAAAATATCATGGCAAAATAAAAACATTACATTGTTGTTTTTTTAAGCCTAAACCTTTAATAAAGAACTACATCTCAACAAATTGCTTCATTAACTTTAAATTAAAGGCATATTCTCTTGGAGTGTAGAACTACATTATCTTTATCCTAAGAATTCAAAATTTCTTACTAGGCCTAAGTATAGGCTTTCATTTTTTATCATTATATATGTATCATAAGTAGCCTATAGTATTACTATAAATTAAGCTATTTTTTTACATTCTAAGAAATTATTACTACAGAATGATGTGGTAACAAGTAGAGTTGTAACACCTGCTTCTTATATAATATTGAAGTTTTCATTCTCAATCAAACCACTGAATAATTAGTTGTTTTTTTTTAGACGTTTGTTTTAACCATACGAATAAAAGAACAATTCATGTGACTAACCCTATTCCCAAAGATACCCTACACCTGTCAAGATATTGTTACGTCTCCGTTTGTTAATTAATTTTCCGTAACTTCGTTCCGACGAAACTTTAGCGACACAAGTCCTTTCTTAATAAAACTGGTTTATTTTTTCCGAATATAACTTTACGATATACTTAATTTCAACAATCGCGCTAAAACAAACGTTAACTTCAACAATACTCTCTGACTGCAGATCAATTACTCACTGTCTACACACATATTGTCACGTCACGCCGTGAACATCTTATATATATACCAGACCACCCCATATCTAGTAAATGCTAGGGCATTCACGAAGGAACAAGATATTTCTAGAAACGTGGCGTGACACTAGTCACGTGACCTCGCTGACGCAACACTGCCCCCTCCTTAATATTGTTCGTCCCGAACAATAACCACATACAATAAACCAATAACAATAACTTAATTAACTGTACAGAATTACAAATACAAAATTACAATTCAACAAAGTCTCTTAATTTTACGGGACGTATCTTCTTCCGTACTGGTCTCCGTCTCGTTGGCTTCTGCTTCATGTGGGATTCATCTGCTTCATCAGTAAATGTCCTTTCGTCAGTAACAGTCACATCAGTGGTAGTAACTTCATCAAGAGCTTCATCGTTTCCCTTCTCAAAACTGAGTAGTTTCTTCTTCGACGTTGGCTTTTTCAGGTGACACCTCTTCAGCAGCGTCATTTGTTCCCTTGTTCACTTCGTCCCAACTGAAATGTCCTGGACCGTGATAACGCCAAAGCCTGTTGGCATGCACCACTTTTGGCTTACCTCGCCGACCACATTTTATCCGGAAAGTCATGTCTGAGAGACGATCCACTATGTCATATGGGCCTTCCCATGGAGAAGACAACTTAGGAGACTTCCCTTTGGTCTTCCTGGGATTATACAACCTCACCTTGTCTCCTGGTACAAAGCTGACTTCAGTAGATCTCTTATCATAAGTTAACTTCATCGAATCAGCAGACGTTTTCAAGTTTGTACGCACTTGATGGTGAATAATGTGTCAGAGTTTGTGAAAGTGTTATCGGAAAGGATGGATGATCTCAGGCAACTCTTCATAAGGTGGGCGTCCTGTTAACAGATCCACTGGGCAACCGAAGTTCCCGACCAAACATCAACTTTGCTGGAGTGTATCTAGTGGTTTCATGCTCTGCTGTCCTGTAGGCCATCAACGGTGGAGGGGGTAAGACATCCCAGTCATCTTGGCGGCTATTACAAAGCTTTGCCAATTCCTGTCCCAGTGTCCAGTTGTACTTTTCTACCATCACATCAGACTGTGGGTGCAGTGGAGTTGTCCTGGTCTTTCGGATGCCAAACAACTTGCAGCATTCTTGGAACACAGCTGATTCAAAAGTTACGGCCTTGATCTGCATGCAGTTCATATGGCATACCCAAATCTGAAAGAAGAAGTCACTAAATAGCCGAAAGCTACAGTTATAGCTTCCGATTTGGTATTGCATATGCCTCAGGCCACTTGGTGAAATAATCTATCACCACACAAATGTAACTTGTGTCCAGCCCGAGTTTGGGCAGAGGACCAGCAAATGTCGAACGGCTACTC